CTGTGTAAGCCTCGAACCCCATTGTTTCCAAATCCAGATCTTGAGCTTTTCAGTGACATGAACCCATAAATTCCCTCGTTTTAAAGGTAAATTTCTCTGTATATTCTGTCATATGCAATTAACAGTCTTAATATATGCCACCACTAATAAAGGAAGCATCCGTCTATATGAATAAAGAGAGAAGCCTCTGGGTGAGAATCCCAGAGGGAGTGAATGAAATGCTACTGTCGGGGCCACCCACTTACAGAGACGGAGCTTTTCCAAGGCAAAACATCAAACTGGAGGAGAGGCAAGATTTAGTCTGTCTGACGAATCATTTTAACCAACCAAATGTCTGAACATCTTATTTGAGAAAAATAGAACATTTAATAAGTCTGTATTTGCTTGGCTGACAATGTCAGCTCTCAGAAACTTATAGAGAAATGCTATTATGTCTTTATTGTGACTCAGAAGCTGGAAAATTGTGTTTTTTATTTTGTTTTAGTTTTAGTTTGTGTGTGTGTGTGTGTGTGTGTGTGTGTGTGTGTGTGTGTTTACGAAGTCTCACTCTGTTGCCCAAGCTGGAGTGCAGTAGTGCGATTTCAGCTCACTGAAACCTCTGCCTCCTGGGTTCAAGTGATTCTCCTGCCTCAGACTCCCAAGTAGCTGAGATTACAGGCTCCCACCACCACATCCAGTTACTTTTTATATTTTTAGTAGAGATGGGGTTTCACCATGTTGGCCGGGCTGGTCTCAAACTCCTGACCTCAGGTGATCCAGCTGCCTCAACCTTCCAAAGTGCTGGGATTACAGGCATGAGTCACTATACTCGCCCTATGTTTTTTTTTTATTTTTAAAGGAAAGAAACGTGGGGCAAACATGATCATGGAGTTTTAAGAGTTTATCAAGAGCATAATAAGATAAATCTCAAAGTCAGATTAAAAACTAGGGATGATACAATGGCCGGAGACCAGGGAAAGGGGAGGAGCCCTTCCAACACCAAAATCTGATGCTAAAAAATACCAAATCTCAGCTACCTAAATTAAGAATCAAGGGTTCTGGCAAGACATTATTTATCAATCATGTACTTTTTTCCCATAAAGTCCAAACTCATTCTCAAATTCTCTCTTACCTAGCATCCTAGTCAGCCACAATGAATTGAGCAAAGTTGGGACACGAGAAGAAACCCATTTGCCATCTCTAGCCTAACAACACAGGGAACTCCTGGAGCTCAACTTATAAAAGGAGGTGTACAAGAAGTGGAAGGTGGGGCATAAATCCATTGTGGAATGGGCCCACGTGAACAATGGCAGAAAGAATAAAGTCTAGAAGAGGCTGAGGTTTGTTTATTTAAAGTAAAACAAAACAAAAACAAAATTTCCATTTTTAAAAGAATGAAAATAAAGGAGGGCTTAAAAAAGAGAGAGAGAGATGTAGTTGTCTCTGCTTAGGGAAGATGACCCAGAATAGAGAAGGCAGAATTCTCCAGCTTCTGGGTTTAGTTCCACATCTTCATTAGGAGGAATGATCTTCACCAGGAAAAAGAGAACAAACTTGGTTAAGAGAGCCTGAGAGTCCACGATGGGGAAGAAGAAAGGGAAGCCCTCCTCTCCTGTAGCTGAGCTCCAGACCCAGCTATCGGTGGTGCCCAAGGGACACAAGGGAAGTTGGGATCGAGAAACCTCTGGGTGATCTCCGAGGAATCAAAGGCAGGGGGAAAAGGCCAGAATGTTAGAAACTGGCAAACAGCATCCTGACTTTCAAAGAAGAGGAAAAACAAATTCCATACCCTATTATCGACCTCTGCAAGAGGCTAGGCAGCACTGTTAACCTGGCAGATTTCAGAGCACACAGCAAAGGAGACAGCAAGAAAGGGCAAACAACTCAGTAGAAAAATAGACGGCAGATGGGTATAGGCAATTCACTTAATGGAAAATACACATGGCCATTGAGCTGGGCATGGTGGCTGGTGCATGACATCTCAGCTACTCAGGAGGCAGAGCCAGGAGGATTGCTTGAGGCAAGGAATTCAAGACCAGACTGGGTAACACAGTGAGCCTCTGTCTCTACAAAAATTTTAAAAATTAGCCAGGCATGATGTGGTGACCCACAACTGAGGTCCCAGCTACTAGGGAGGCTGAAGTGGGAGGACTGCTTGAGCGCAGGAGTTCGAGGCTACAGTGAGCTATGATCACACCATTGCACTCCAGCCAGGGTGATACAGCGAGACTCTGTGTCTTAAAAAAAAAAAAAAAAAAAAAAAAAAGTGAACAATAAATATAAAAGATCCCCACCATCATGGAAATATACATTAAATTAAGATGATCAGATACTATTTATGTAGCAGGCCATATAGAATTAAAAGACATAATATCAACTATTGGCAAAGATGTGGGGAAATGACACATTCACTAGTGGAATACATAGCTTTCTTTAAAGGGCAATTTGGCAGTATTAATTAAAATTAAAAATGTATTGTACTTTTAGCCAGCAATCTGAAAGATTCACACATGCAGAGGCTTGTAGAAGGTTAATACAAAAATTTTAAATACAAGTTTTAAAATTACACTACAGTACATCTACACTATGAAATACCATATGAGTAAAAGTTAAAGGTGATTCATACATATTGATACTGAATGATCTTTAAGATGTCATTATTCATACTTTCCGAAAGCACAGATAAACACATATTTCATGTGTATATAAACGAATACAAAATAGTTTAAAAGCCAATTAATCTGACAATAGAGATTATCTTGGGAAGGTGATTTGGGATATCTTTGTCTTTAGTTTTTGTATTTTTATACTTAGAATGTTTTCATTTATTATATGGTTAAATATACATTTAACATATATTTAATAATTTGTATATATTTAACTATATATGTACATATGTATATATCTACACATATACACAGTCCGCCCTCTGTATCCAGGGTTTCATATCCATGGATTCAACCAACTACAAATTTAAAATATTTAGAGGGATAAAAAGGATGGTTGTGTCTGTACTGAACACATACAGACTTCTTGTCATTATTTCCTAAACAATATAGTATAACAGCTATTTACATAGCATTTATATTGTATTAGGTATTATACATAAACCTGTAATCTAGAAATGAATTAAAGTATGTGCATAGGTTATATGCAAATACACCATTTTATATAAAGGACTCTGAGTATTTTGGTATCTGTGGGGCTTTTTGGAACCAGTCCTCCATGGATACCAAGGAATCACTATATACATACAGTGTAAACATATATATATATATATATATATATAAATATATATATATATATATATATATATATAAATATATATATATATATAAATATAAAGAATGAAAAATAAAGACCAGGAAACAGTGACTGTTGGGGACTAGTGTGTGCACTAGGAGTAAGATGTGTCAAATCTACCCAGTTTCCTTCTCCTGGGTGACAAGGGAAATGCCAACTGCACTGTGAACTGATATCCGCAGGCTACTGGCAGAGCCTTTCATATCATTATTACGGAAACAATAAAAAAAATGCAGACTGGATGACAATGCTAGAAGCAGAGCCAAAACTGACTTAGTTACTGATTCAGGGTCCATGGGGAAACTCCTAGGGTAGTCTTTGGTCCTGTTCTGTTCAACATCTTCATTCGTTCATTCTTCTAATATCTCACTTACTCACACACCAGACATTTACAAGCTTACTCTCAAATGTGTCTGATGTTGTGCATTGAGATATAAAGATGGGCCGGGCACAGTGGCTCACACCTGTAATCCCAGCACTTTGGGAGGCTGAGGCAAGTAGATCACCTGAGGTCAGGAATTCGAGACCAGCCTGACCAACATGGTGAAATCCCATTTCTACTAAATACAAAAAATTAGAGTGACGTGGTGGCAGGTGCCTGTAATCCCAGCTACTCAGGAGGCTGCAGCAGGAGAATCGCTAGAACCCGGGAGGCAGAAACTGCAGTGAGCTGAGATTGTGCTATTGCACTCCAGCCTGGGCAACAAGAGCAAGACTCTGTCTCAAAAAAAAAAAAAAAAAAAAAAAAGATATAAAGATAATTTCTGCTTTAAGCCTAGGATACTGAAAAACAGACAGAAGGGGGAATCAAAACCAGAATGAAAAATGCTCAGTCTGAAGTGTTATGGGAGCTCCAGAAGGTAGGGCATGACCATACCCTGGCCTCTTGATGGAGATCGCTATTTATACCTCTATTTATATTTCATGAGGTCTGTACACTTCATGAAAGACATCATAAAGCTAAAAAATAGCAAGAATTCCAAAAACCACATATATATGAGGTAGAAAAGATTGAAAAGCTAAACATCCCAGTACAATCCATTTCCAGTCACTAAAAAGTTCTACCCTTAGGTTACAAGAGAATACACTTGAGTTTTGAGGCCTCACTGAAAGAACACTGTCAAAGAGCAAGGTGTCAGGATAGGAAGCAATGGGCCCAATGTGAGATGAAGACCAGATAGAGGTATACCCAGACTTTTTAAGGGTCACTCTGATCTCTCTCTCTGAGCCCTCGACTCCACTCATAATCCTTCTGTTTTCTGTCAGGGAATCACCTACAGCCAACAGAGCCAGGAATTTCAAGATCTCTGATTATGTGGTTGGTTGGACTATTTGAGGGAGGGAGCAAGTAGAAGATCGCTCCCAGGTCAGCTCCCCGCCACATGGTAGTTAGCCTGTAGCAGATTTTTGGTTTGCAAGACCTTTCTTGCCTGTCCTCTCCCCACTCCCCAGTTTGGTGCCCCAAGGTTGTCTCTTCCACCACGCTGAAGAAAAACCATGAAGCACACATATGCCAGTTTCCATGGCTGTGGATCCCAGGCAGTCATTTCACCCTTTCAGGCCTTAGTGTTTTTGTTTGATGAAGAACATTAACAAAGAGGGGGCAGTACCTAATACAAATGAGTGAATGGTGGAATTTCAGGGACCCAGGAGTTCCTATCTGGGTCCTAGCCCTAGTGTAGGAGGTGCTCTGGCAGGGACCCTCCATCAGGACTAACCTCTTCAGTGATGATCGAGACAGCACCTGTGCAGCCTGGTTCATGGCTCTGACCCAAGCATTCATGTCCTCCTGGGTGTCGGCACTGAAGTAGTAGGTCCTCATGCTCGACTGCTCGGCCTGAGAGCCTGCTGTGGAGCTGTTATAGATGAGCGCTCGCATCCCCGTGTGCACAGCCTGCAGCATGAAGACAGAAACGCAGGTCAGAGGGAGGTTATCACACATTCCTTTCTAGGAGCAAAAGCGAGGAGGCACTCTGGCCCTTCCAGACTAAAAGCCCAAACACCACCCAGCTTGTTTCCACACCTAGAAAACATCACAGGCTAGATTCCTCTTCCTTAGTGCAGCCAGGCCCACTGACCGCTGTGTTTGTTTCCCCACAGCAAAAGCCCTGCTGCTGTACCTGTTTCCTGTTTACCTTTCTCCTGCTTTGGGGGTTGGGAATGTGCACAAAGTCAAGGCTTATGTGAGAAACCGGCTTTTCAGAAAACCCTCATTTCATGGAGACAGACTCTTGGGAATCCTTGTTCTGGTTTTTCTGAAGCTTGTGATTTCTGCTTTGGCTATCATCAGACAAGAATGGACTTAAAACTGGCTGCATCAACAGGTGGCTTGATGTGAATGTTCACTGTGCTTCACTGCTTAGGCATGACGTGTGATGTGTGTTCCTCCAAGAAGCTGCTGTTCTGTATCTCCAAAAGAGGCACCACCAGATATGAGGGCAATCAGGCTACAAGAGCTGTCACCCCATTGATCGCCAGGGTTGATTCGGCTGATCTGGCCGGCTAGGTGGCTGCACACTCAGTTGAAGAGGAAGACCATCCCCGATGGAGGAGGACTGGCCTTGAGTCAAGGGTGTACAAGTAGCTGCACTCCCCTGCTAGAACAAGCTCTCAAAAGAGCACTACAGAGGTGGATAGAGCTGACCAACAGTTACCTAAATATTCTTGCAAACCTACTGTGTCCTTTTGCCTCAAGGTGCTTTCATATGTATCCTTGCAAAAAAATCTGGAAAAAAGGTACTCAGAATGACCACTGAAAAATGACCGGGATGACACCAGTTTTTCCCCTTGTGCTCTGATAAAGCAGAGTCCCATCTTTTAAATTTGCAAGGAACAATCTCATCAAATCTATATAGGAAGATGGTATGAAAAGAGAAAGATTTACTGAGTACCTACTGTGTGTCTCCTAGGTAATTCTACAACTTTAATCTCATTGTAATCTTAACAGCCTTGAGAAGTGGAGACAGAATCTGTTTTACAGATGTAGCAAATAAAGCTCTGAGATGTTAAGTAACTGTCCCAGATTTCCACACCTGGTAACAGATTCTTCACAGCACTTACCATTACCTGATGCTATTTATTACCTGCTTATCATCTGTCTCCTTTCTCTACAAATATAAGCTCCACGAAAGTAGAAATTTTGCTATTTTGTTCACTAGTATATCCTCAGGAACAGTGCCTGACACACAGTAGGTGCTCGATAAACATTTGCTGAAAGAATGAAGAGCTGGAGCCCAGGTCTGACTCCAAGTCCAGGCTTCTCTGTATATTGCTCCCAGCTTCTGTCCAGAGGTGAGGGTGATTATCCAAATAACTGGTTCTATACTCTGAATCCAGCATGAAAGGCAGACCCCATGCAAGGACCAGGCAGAGAAAACAAAATGAGAACCAATGAGAAGCTGGACAATGACATGCTTCTGGAATCACTAATAGTCATGGATGAAAACATGTCAGATGAACTTTCAGCATTTACTTCTCCTCTCTACCCTCTTAATATCCAGATCCAAAATGCATAGTAAATATAGGTCTGCTTCTGGCATTTGCATATCTGAGTCCATCCAGCTCAGTGCCAAGGGAATGTAGGCAAACTTGGCCTGCAGCCAAGGATCCCTATAGTGGCTGAAGCAAACCTGATATCCTTCCTTAGCATGTATAAGGTGTCATTCACTATTACAGGAAGGATTCTATTTTAAGCAAGGTGGAAATGTGCCAGTAAGAACAGAATAAGGCCGGGCGCGGTGGCTCAAGCCTGTAATCCCAGCACTTTGGGAGGCCGAGGCGGGTGGATCACGAGGTCGAGAGATCGAGACCATCCTGGTCAACATGGTGAAACCGCCGGGCGCGGTGGCTCAAGCCGGGCACGGTGGCTCAAGCCTGTAATCCCAGCACTTTGGGAGGCCAAGGCGGGTGGATCACAAGGTCGAGAGATCGAGACCATCCTGGTCAACATGGTGAAACCCCGTCTCTACCAAAAATACAAAAAATTAGCTGGGCATGGTGGCGCGTGCCTGTAACCCCAGCTACTCAGGAGGCTGAGGCAGGAGAATTGCCTGAACCCAGGAGGCGGAGGTTGCGGTGAGCCGAGATCGCGCCATTGCACTCCAGCCTGGGTAACAAGAGCGAAACTCCGTCTCAAAAAAAAAAAAAAAAGAACAGAATAAGGCCAGACACAGTGGCTCACATCTGTAATCCCAGCACTTTGGGAAGCTGAGGCAGGTAGATCACCTGAAGTCAGGAGTTCAAGACCAGCCTGGGCAACATGGTGAAACTCCATCTCTACTAAAAATATAAAAATTAGCTAGGGGTGGTGACGTGCGCCTGTAATCCCAGCTACTCAGGAGGCTGAGGCATGAGAATCACTTGGACCCAGGAGGTGAAGGTTGCAGTGAGTCAGGATTATGCCACTGCACTCCAGCCTGGGTGACAGAGTGTGACTTCATCTCAAAAAAAAAAAAAAAAAAAAAAAGAACAGAACAGAATAAGAAGGAACCTGTGCATGTCTTACTGAAAATCAGCAGAAATTCTTGGAAAACATCCTCTGGACAATGACCCCACGAGATCTCTGGCACACTGACCCAGCCATTTGTGCCCAGTCAGAGAGAGTACTGGGACAGGTGCCTATCCCACTAGACACAAGCATAGGGAGCCCTCCAAGGTACAATAAAGACAGTAGACCCCTGCTGTACAAAAATTCATGGAGTCAGCCTTGTCCAGGAAATTAACATGGGACATGCCTCAAACATGCAGACATGGGTTTGCATGTCTGTTTGCAAATGAGCCTTGAGAGTTACACCCATCATTATGAAGGAGTTACACATGATTGCAAATAAAACCCTGGTCACTAATCAAACAAGCAGGTGCTGTGCCCAGCTGCTCTTGACTCTGAAGAACAGATTCCAAATGCATTCTGCCTGTGTGAGGGCATATTAGATGGATTAACTGTGAAGGCAAGAAGTACAGGGAGTTTCCTTTTCATCTGGCCAAGTGAGCCAAGTCCAAAGTGTCCTGAGCCTAGGAAGATGCCATAACCCAGATGATGTGAATCTTCTCACATAGTTGAATTTCTCCCTCTTCTCAATTCAGAAATGCTGTTTTCTCTGCTCTTTGCTTTCCTGTTAACATAATCCTACGAAGCAACTTTGTATAACTGAATAGAAAACAGGCCATGCCTAAAGGAAATCAGGATGTGAGCAAAGAAGAGTTTACCTCAAAGACATGAGGCCTCTAGGATATGGCTGCTCTCCTGGCTCTTGGACCTTAGTTCTAGACACAACACTGGTAAAAGAGCCAGAATCCTCATGGCTCAATTCCCAACAGCAGCCTTTAGAATAGAGAAACCTCAGTGGAAAATACAGGAGTACCTAAAAGGCCAGGGCCCATCAACTAGCTGGCTCATTCTGGAACTTGTTCAACAATAATGAATCATTTATTGAGTATTTACTATGGGAAAGGTGCCCTACCAAAGTTGGAGGGACAGCCTTAAACAAAGCCATTGCAGTTTATAGCCACATAGAAGAGAAAGACCATGGACAAGTAACTCCAGCTGTAGTAAATGTCATCAAGGAGGTCAGGATGCTGTGAGGAGGATAACAAGGGAGCTCAGCCTAACCCCTGGGGAGCTGACATTGCAGCTAACTTCTACACTGTCGGTAGTCATTTAAGTAATACCAGGGAGAAGCTGGGCAGTACCCCAGGGACATGAGCACACAGTGTATTCATCTTCAAGGATGAGGCCAGCATAGCCGGCGCAGAGGAATGGAGGGGAAAACAGCATGAAGGGAGGCTGCCTAAATTGGCAGGGCCAGACCACCAGAGCCTTACAGATCACGTAGGATTCTGTCTTCATGAAAGAGCAATGAGAAACTATTACAGGTTTTTTCGTTTTTCTGAGACAAGGTCTTGCTCTGTTGCCCAGGCTGGAGTACAGTGGCACCATCTTGGCTCACTGCAATCTTCACCTCCTGAGTTCAAGCGATCCCCCGACCCCAGCCTCCTGAGTAGCTTGTACTACAAGAGCACACCATTAAACACAATTAATTTTGTATTTTTTGTAGAGATGTGGTTTCGCCATGTTGCCCAAGCTGGTCTCAAACTCCTGGGCTCAAGGGATCCACCCATCTTGGCTTCCAAAATTGCTGAGATTACGGGCATGAGCCACTGCACCTAGCCTTATTTAAAGGGCTTAAGCTGGGGAATGATGTGATCAGGTTTTGTTTGGAAAGACCACTCCGGCTGCAGTACGCAGAGAGGTTCAAGCAAGCAGGAACATTTGAGGAGAGATGGGTCAGGAGGCTACTACGGGAGCACAGGTGAGAGATGGTGGTGGAGGCAGAGAAGGGGAGGAGAAGACAGGGTCTGGAGAGAACTTGCAGGTAATATCTGCAGGCCTTGGTAATGGACTAGATATGAGGAGAGAGAACAGCAGGTATAAAGGATAAGAGTCTCAAGTTTACAACTTGCAGAGTTAGTGGTGCCCATGTATTGAGATTAAGAAAAAGGACCGGGCATGGTAGCTCACACCTGTAATCCCAGCACTTTGGGAGGCCAAGACAGGTGGATCACCTGAGGTCAGGAGTTCGAGACCAGCCTGGCCAATTGGGTAAAACCTCATCTCTACGAAAAATACAAGAATTAGCTGGGCGCGGTGGCTCAAGCCTGTAATCCCAGCACTTTGGGAGGCTGAGGTGGGTGGATCACGAGGTCAAGAGATTGAGACCGCCCTGGTCAACATGGTGAAACCCCGTCTCTACTAAAAATACAAAAAATTAGCTGGGCATGGTGGCGCATGCCTGTAATCCCAGCTACTCAGGAGGCTGAGGCAGGAGAATTGCCTGAACCCAGGAGGCGAAGGTTGCGGTGAGCCGAGATTGTGCCATTGCACTCCAGCCTGGGTAA